ATTACTATAAAGGAAGTTATTAACACTGTTTTAGAGAGGAAAACTACCACCATATATTTAAAAGTATAGGTCTGTTCCAAATAATAGAGTTGCATTCCAAAAGCTAATGTTGGTTACTATCAAGTGTCACTTTCTTACTTGCTGTGGCTTGTTGGTGTGTATTGACAAAAAGTCATGATATCTAATTAAAACATCATCATGTCCCAAGTTAAACAAAAAACATGACTAAGCTAACTAATGAATGAATATTTGTTGTACAGTTTTTATCAATGCTATAACTGTAGCTACCAGTTTGGCCACCAATTTTGATTTCATTCCTTAAACTCGCATGCCCAATCCTTTTTTGGCCAAACCTAAGGTGTTTTTGATTAGATTCAATATACAAAACTAAACATTAATGACCAAATTAAACAAATAAAAATAATAAAACAGTACATTTATTGATGTAGGAAGTAGTACGTTTTAATTATTGGATTTATGTGGTGTAAGAATGACAAAAAATTATAAAGCCAACTAAAATTTTATATTAAAAAAGTAAATAAAAACTTATTCGTGAAGGTAACACACAAATCTTAGCCCATGGTCTCAACTGTAAGATTAATAACATAAAAGATAACTGAGTTATTAAACATGTATTGTCAGTGTTCAGCTGGATTACTTCAGAGTTAAAAAAATCTACATCTTGTAAATTGAGTCTTGCAAATGTTGTTTGAATTTCATTTACTATATTAAAGAATAAGCAGTCTGTAAAGTAACTAATGGACTCACCTAAGCTGACTGCTGCTGTAGGAGCTGGTGAATGGAACATCGGAGACACAACAGCAGCAGCCTGATCAGCTGACAGGATTACTGATGCACGTGGATATCTGAAATTTTAAAAAATGCTGTTAAAAAATCCAACACTTTAAGGTGAAACATTTTATAAAAATAATAATTTATCTTGAAGAATAAGTGCATAACTAATACAAAAAGTGAAGAGAGAAAAACTAACAAAAGGAGATTCCATGCTAAAAATAAAATAAACCAATTTCCCCTGTTTTTGTAAAGTAGGTGTGGAGTATCAAATATCTGCAAAAAAATACCTCATACTGGTGAAACAGGGATACTGATAAAGCCTGGAAAGCATAAAGTTAAGCCCAGGCTGAGTTCATGCAGATAAAGCATGACCCAGATAGAGCTGAGATAGCAAGGATTGCACAGATAAGAACAATTTCCAAAGCACATAATATGAAATGGAAAAAATTATGTAGCAAGACCAATCTCACGAGAATGTCATCTGGCACTTCCACAAGCTTATAGCTAACACAGGGTCCAAAAACATGGCAATGTCAGTTTTTTACTATGCTGATGGTACCCCAGTCTTAAACAGACAAAGACCAAGGCTAGGCCTTCTTGCACAGATACATTACCGTATTTGTCGATGTACAAGACAAACCTGAAATTTTTGAGCAAACTAAGTGTATTTCTTTGAATGTTTGGTGTACAGAATGACCTCTATTGTCAAGCAAGTCTAGAATGTTACTTTTGTAAAGAAATTCATAGAGGTTATTTTTAAACTGTGCTAATCTGCAGTCTGAGGTAATCAGTACAACCACAAGTGTGGTTTTTCATGCTCTTCAAATGCACTACAGAGATCTCAATGTGACATAAATTAAGTCACAAACATGTAATAAATAACTTTACAAAGTTTTCATCATGGTTGAACTCCTTTTCTCTTACAAAAAAAATATACTAAACCTTAAGATATAGTCATCTACTACAAAAACATGATTACAAAGTTAATGTGTGTTACAAAAACTAGCTTTTTTGATATAATATTAGCAATATTTTACTATGATGAATAATATAAAATTCAAATCAAAAATGTCTTGATTAATTGTAACTAGCATGTGAGATAAATAACTTCTGGTTATGAAGAATTGAGACAAATGATACAATTACAAATATGTTATTGTAACGCAGTATGTGGCACAATGTCAATGCACTTACTCAAAAAAAGCAAACAAAAGTAAAAGGAAAAATGTAGTTTTGATTAAATATGCTATTAACCGGAGAGTTCTTATAGGAACTCTATCCTCATACCTGTGTATAAAATGAGGGGTAAAATCAGGCATTGTTTTAAGAGTAAAAATTATCACCTTATACATCAGCAAACTACATCAATCCCCGCCTGAAGTACAACTACATGTGGATATGGAAGTCATCTTTAGCTTAGATAAGATAAACAGTGCCATAAGTACATATAGAAATAGAGCTTCTGATCTGGATGGTGTAAAAATACCCACCTTAAGTTCAAAAAGCTTACAGAAGACAGCCTATTGAAGTTAGTGATGAAGTATGAAGATATCTTGGCAACAGGTAGCATTCCTCAGATACAGACTGATGCTTTTATTAAATTCTTACCCAAACCCATAAAGGATCATTCTCGTCTTAAAGACTAATGAGTCATTGTCCTACAAAACATTATTGGCAAGATTCCAGAGAAGGCTGTACTGGTTATCGCAGTGGAAGAGAAACCTGTATTAATATTGCTGTATTCACAACTGTTATATGGGAAAACTTTGAAGCTAGTCAGAAACTTTGGAAGTAGCTTTACATCTTTATAGTAGAGCCCATCTTCCTATCTTGCTGATAAAATGCTCAAAACAGGTATCAGTGTAACATGACCAGATGATGTGTGCTAACCTTTGCTGATGACATTCTGGTGTAGCAAAGCTACAGTTGAAAGCAAGATGCAACCATCCCTTGCAGGTTGAGCCAGGAGTGATGCTAGCCCATTGAGAGAATGGAGCAAGCATTTTTACCCCCCTCCCATCTTTTTCTATTTCCTTCGAGGCAGCCAATCTCTACGAGAGGTCAGCACTTGTCAGTGCGACCAATGGGATTGTTACCTTGTACTCAACTCATGGCTGCTATAACACAAAACATATTTATTGGCTTTAAAAGAAAACTAAAATAACTTCAACAATTTTAGAATGTCTTAAAAAGCTTATTGTAAATGTCTTCCTACAAATGTATTTGAAAGCTTTGTAACTTAATAAATATAAAAATATAACAATCATCATAATAATAATAATAACAGTAAAAAAGAAGTTTGAAATCTAATATTACCTACCTCTTTGTAACTCTGTCATCTCTTTCTACAACATAACCAACTTCATTTCCTTCTCGGTAATGTCCTCTTACTATTCCAGGGTCATAGTAATCATCTTCTGACAAAGCAAGAACACTCAATCCCTCATGAAGTAGAGCCATCACTAATAGGTCACACTCTCGAATAGCTCTTGTATCTCCATCATCAAACTGAACTGACCATCTAGGAAAACAATTGATTAGTATATTTTCAAACTATAGTAATTAATGTATTAATCCATGAAGGACAAATCATAAGTACACAGAAAATTTTCAGAGTGAATCAAGCCAATAACAAAAAATATAGACAAATTAAAAATTACTGTAAAATAGTAAAATAACATGTAAAGATTTGCTTTACATTACTCCTTGTGGAATTCATATTTCTTAAAAGACTGATATAAACTACTTTATTAATGGATTTTTCTTCCACTGACTATGATTTGTTAGTTTTCAGCATGCCCTGTGCAGAAACTTTGATTTTAATGTTTATTCAAACAGCTTCTGTATTTTTTATACTACCAGATATAAGTTATATTTATACTGTTATGTTTTAGTGTAACACAAAAAAACAGAATTTTCTATTATATCATACCCGTAATGATCTTGGCAAAATAAGTAAAGTGACTTCTTAGTTCTTTGAAACCATCAAGTTCACAAGGATTATTGCCCAACAAAACTTTACTTGTTCTGTTATGTTCTTGAACAACATGAGCACAGTGACTTCATAAAATGTTTACTATTTTATCTCTTCGTTAAAGGGTAAGAAATTAGTGTATTCTGTTAAATGAATAATGATCTTAATGTTGTATTAGATTGTTTGTTTCTTGAACTTTTTCTATAGGCATTTAAGTGATTTCTTGTTCACACAAAATTGAAAGTATTTTTATTACTAGAAACAAGGGTATTAAAATAAGGGTTTTTCAGCAATGTAGATGAAACAAGGAACTGAATCATAAGTTTTTCACAGTTGAAATAACTGATAATTTCAACCTTCTATAACTCATTGAGAATATATATATAGTACAGCATATTCAATTAATTTTTCAAAATTTATGTGCAGGTGTTATGCTGTAATTACGACATCCTTATAACTCAGATGTGAAAAAGTGAAAATACTTACTAATCATTTCTATAACTCATTGAGAATATATCTATAGTACAGCATATTCAATTAATTTTTCAAAATTTATGTGCAGGTGTTATGCTGTAATTACGACATCCTTATAACTCAGATGTGAAAATACTTACTAATCATTTCGATTAGATTAAGATTACATGCAACAGCAGCTATCACAGAGAAGCTTTTATCAGTTTAACATTGTGTGCGTGTCCACTCATTGGGGTGTGGCAAGCCCATCTCAAGAGGTGACACAGATACTTGTACAAATTGGGGAACTGGGGTTTTTCCCTTCAATATGTCATTTGGAATAGTTGTTGACTATAATAGGACAAACATCTGATCTGACTAGATATTGCACTATCTAATGAAATGTGATTTGATGATGTTAATTTTGCAATGAATTAGATAATCAAATGGCATTTTCATCAACAGATTACCTCAAAATACTATGTAGGCATGATACTATTTGCAAGTGTGTCACACATACTAGGTATTCCACCATCAAACCCACTAGTGCTTCTACTACCTTCTAAACAAAGTTTAATTTTCCAGGTATTAAAGTTGGGATTCCTGTTAGTCATAATATAGATAGTCATTATGTAGTTCAAATAAACATCATGTCCATACACTGTGTTACCACTGTAAGTCACAGATAGTCATAGTACTAGCAGCAACAGCAAGCACAATACAAATAATAGTCTCAGTGGTGGATTGAGTGTTAAGCACTGTCTCACACCTTCAAGTGCCATAATCCCTTAAAGGGCCTGCAGTAGCTGCTCATGTGAAACTGTACAACCCCATGTACATCTTTACTCAATTTTTAAAGTACTAAAAGATAACTCAAGTCTGTGGCATTTGATCCAAAAATATCTGAATATGATTGGGTATAAGGAACTAGCTATCTGAAATCCAACCAAAACTACTTTTTGTCCCATCCTAGATTATGGAATAATACACTATGATTCCTTTAAGTGATATGAAGGATCAGTAGAATCCTGTTCTTTTCCTGTGTGAACATAATAATTCTTCCTGGTCCTTGTCATGTATGGATGTATTTTTGAGTTTCTCCAGCCCCTGCAACCAGTTTCAGTACAAATGATTAGAAGACAGCCAGTGGGTGAGATACATAATAACTATTGTGAATAAAGATTTCATTTGTTTTTCCTCTGTAGCCTGTGTTCAATTTATTCTTTGCTTAATAGTCCTGAATCTGCATATTACTGATACTGTTTGTAAAGCCAAAAGCTACACAATGAGCTATCTATGCTGTGCTCTCCACAGGTATTCAAACCTAGTTTTTAGCATTATAAGCCTTCAGACTTATGACTGAGCTACTATGAGGCTTAATGATACTTTAGTTTATCTGTTGGATGTCAGACAGACTGGATACCATAAGTTTACGGAAATTTATTAAATATCGGAAAACTCAGCTCCAGGTAGCAAAAAATATCATGTGCTGTTGATCAGAAAACTACTTCAATAAAACAAGAAGAAACCATTTTATTGTTGCTTTAGAAGTCAAACAATCATTAAAAATATAGAATATTTTCACAATATTTCCAGTAAAGTTAGAAATCTACTTGATGATGACCCCAGGAAAAAAAAATTCAACAAACAAATGCAGCTAGAGCAAAGTAAAATCTGAAATACAAAACAAACCCTTATAAATGAAAATAATAATTATTTGGTCAAAAGATAAAATACCTTCTCTGCAAGACGATGAAGGCCATATGATCAAAATGCTAACCATTATCTTCTTTACAACCATTTTAACATTTCTTTTTATTATCAGATTTCAAACCTTAGACTTAACAATTGTTATTTTTTCATATCTTACCATATTATTCTCACACATCAGTCTTAAAAGGGAATAACAAAGTATTTATGTGGGTTTGAACAAATGAAACTTTTGTGAGATCAATTTTTATTAGAACCAGTTATGATTAAGAAAATATCTAGAGATGTAAAAATTTACAAGGAAAGGTCTGAGGGGGCAGTACAATATTTTCCACGAAGGAATTTTTTAAAGAGACAAGAAATGTGTTCAAATAAAGAAAGATGAAAAAGCTGATAAATTAACAAGAGAACACTTCTTCATAAACTTCATTTTTAATAATGACAACTTTACTTTTACTAGCCGGTATTCTACAGCTGATGTGAAAATGTTACTTTGACAGTTAAAATTATGTGTGTAAATTGAAGATCAAATCAGAAAACTGGCTCAGACTTTTATGTCAGCAAAAATTAAATAAAAAACTGCAGTTTGCTCCAATGTGCAGCTTAAAAAAAAATTTCAAAAATCATGATCTGGAAAATGTTTTTTTTTTATTATTCTTATTAACTTTGAATACACTTCAAAAAATGGCAGATACAAAAGATCTAATTACTACCAGACCATAATTTTCAAACATCAACTGTGTATAATCAATTTAACCCAGAGGGTTAAAATGAGATATCTGATACTTAAAAACCCTCCTCTTACCAGAAATTGGTGAAAGGAAGAAGAAGAAATCAAACTTTGAAAACAATAAGTATCTGTTGAAATATTAGAGAAAATAACAGTTAAAAACAATGTTACATATTCCCTCGAACTCTTGCAGTATTTAAGTCTATCTAGAAATATGAAAATCAAAACTGAAAATATTAAAATGGTCTCATCTATCCTGCATTTCAGCCCACTGCATGGAGTTGGGTCAGTCTTAGGGCTACTACCTCTCTTATGTATAACTTTGGATTAGACAATGTTAATCAGAAGGCAAATGTTACGATTATCTCTAACCTTCCATTGGATTCGGGTTTTTTCACTGTTCCAGGATAATAGTAGCCATCTCTCCACTTAGCCATTACTCGCTTTCCTGTTTATCAAATTAAAACCATGATCATTTACTCATCCTCAAATTATCATAATCAAACAGTACAAAATACAGTATATCACAGCACAGATTGTGAATTAACAAAATAAATCAAATGCCAGCTTTTCATTCATTTATGGAATTCCATTAACTATATACACAGAACTGTTTTTAAACTCTCCTGTGATTCTAATCACAAACTAACATTTGTCTAAAATTACACTGGAATTATACATTTTTTAGAACATAGAAGATTCCATGGGATTCCATTAACTATATATACACAGAACTGTTTTTAAACTCTCCTGTGATTCTAATCACAAACTAACATTTGTATGAAATTATACATTTTTTAAAACATAGAAGATTCTGCTCATTCTGCATTAGTAGGAATGTTTTAACAAACCTGGAAGAACCCCAAAGCTTTGTATACTCTCTTCAGTTGTGCTTTTCTCCTGAACTTCTTTTGTTCTAACAAGATGCACCAATGGGATTTCTGGGCTTGATCTAGTTATAAAATTGTACACTAGGATAATTAAAAATAAATTATTTTTAGGAGCCAAATTATTCTTAAACAAAAAATTTAGTTCTGTTTCAGTTTAAAAAAAAAGGGAGAAAGAGAGAGAGAGAGACAACCAAATTTTGTATCATAATAATATATTGTTAAGCAAGTTTTAATTATACTGAACATATGAATTCTTCTTACACAAAACATAGTGATTAGATAAGATTAACTTTTATTATCATTATAGTTTAAAATTAACAAATAAATGTCTAATTTTACTGTAAAAATAATTTCTAAGTGATTATAAATTCCTTCTTTTTGGTCTTACTCATTCTTATGTATGAAACATACTTTAACATTCAAAATAGTGTTTACAAGGAATGACATGAAAATGACAAGATGACTAAAACAGTTCAGACTGGAGTGTTAAACATCCTAGAAGATAATAATGTAATCTGAAAATTAGACTGTAAATATTTCAAAGTTTCAGTTTTTACTTTAAATTTCTATGACATTGGTTGTTCAGCAAAGTAGCACACACACAAAAACATACCTAAAACTGTGTTCATCTATAATTTTTATTCTTAAGTTAACAAGACAGAAAAAAAAAGGACAAACTTTCAGTAATTCAATCCCAATGGATACATTAGTGAATTACTAAATAGAATAATATATTTGTGGATTACTAGACCAAGCAGTTTTCAATAGATGAAACACTCATTGCTTTTGAAAATATAGTGAATTACCCAAATCATTATACTTGGGACTGTTTAGATATTTATTAGCTATATAAATTACCTTTAGGCACATAAAGCATCTTTTTAACATTATATTAGTTAAACATTCAAGTGAAACTCATTCTTGAACTTTAATAATATTAGTAATCATTATTAAGGTCAGAAACTAACACTCCAAGCTGATTAATCTCAAATATGTTACTGCATGTGGGATGGAATTGGAAGGGCAAAAAACCAGTCTTAAACAAGCATGCAGTAAATATTTAAAGCTACTTTTTAAATATGAATAGAATGAAAAGAAAAACTGAAGAAACAAGATCTAAATTTGTGTGCATTATATCCCAAGACATTCATTGCTAAGAATGAAGGCTTGGTTGTAACCTACTGGACAAAAATGCAAATGGAAGCTAAATGACATTGTTTTTAATGACATATATTTTTCAGTGGAAGAAAGTATAAAAGTCTGAAACCAGAGGATTACTTCTCAATAATATTCAGTTTTCATGGATAAAAAAATATATCCACCTGAGTGCTGGTGAGCTCCAGGTTCCAATAATGTTTCAACAAAGAAGAACAAAAATTATCAAAATATTTTAAAAAATTAAATAGTTTAATGTACTTCTCAATACTGAAAAAAAGCAGGAAATATGGAAATAGGAAAGAATGAAGAAAGATAGAAAGAAAAAACATTACAACAATTTCTCAAATTCACAACTCAAAACACTAACCCTGATGTTTCACTGGACTTATGCCCAGATTCCTCAATACTTTGCAGATCTTCTGCAGTTTTTTGTTCATTAAAAGATGCTTCAGCGAGTTTTTCCTGTTTTTTCCCAGCATCTTTTCTACTACGAGCATTTTTTCTTTGCTTGGGAGTCTGTGGAAAAGTTCCCTTATCTGACTCAGCTAAACTTTGTGACTGACCTGTTGAAAAATCTGAAATAGCCAAACTTCTAGTCACACGAGTTGACTCAGCTAAAGGTAGAGACAAGTCAGATATATCAGAATGTTCTTGATGTCCTCCTGATTTATCTTGAACAGGCCTTCTACTGAGAGCAAACTGTGGTCGGAGAAACATATCTTCTTGACTAGTGTCTGGATCCTGTTCGCTATGGGGAATATTTCCTGGATCGGAACTACGCGTAGTTGTTCTAATCAAAGATACTTTGTCTAAACTTGAAGTTGAAGATGTCTTGCTTAACTGAGATCGCTGGGAGGCTGTAGTGTGTTCTGAAGACCTGCTGGTTGAGCTAGAAGCCAGAGAAGAAGTTACACCACTAGATGTGGTAGTTCCCAAGGAACTAATGTCACCTAACTCTCCTGATGTAATAGAACTACGATGAGAAACATAGGTCACTCTAGATGAAGAAGATGTGGAGCCAGTAGGAGAGATATGTTCTTCTGGTATCTCCTGAACAATGGGTTCTTCTTCTTCCTAGGGCACAAGAAGATACACATTTAAATTAAGTAACACGGTTGTGACTTATTAACAAAAATTTAAATTTAAATGCAGCAACTAGTTATGTAAGTTACTTTTAGAGAGGGAGAGAGGGTACTGTTAAGAGTTTTCAAAAAACTTGTTTGGACCTTAGTTCAGAAGTTTTATGATTAAATTCCATTATAAATGAAACACTGGTTAATTTTAATAATGTGTTAGCCTTAAATTAAGGCTAATAAAAATGTTTTCTCTAGCTGTTTCCAGAACAATTTCACAGGATATGTAACTAGGATACCAAGAAAAGTATAATCTATATAATTACTCCTAGATCTCTTGGCCAACCTCAACCAAACTTTGTGGAATGATAGTTTGGAACAAGGAGAATGTTAATCGGGGGTTCAGAACCCCCAACTTCCCTCATTATTGCTGTTATTCAGAATTTATTATATTTGATGTAAGTTAACAACTACATTCAAAGATGGCACAACATCCTTACACACACACAAAAAGAAACTATTAAATTTGATATAACATGGCAAGTAACTTAATTAAGTAATCATGTGAAAACAAAATGAGCACATGTACGCTTAGTTTCACAGTGTTTCACCATTAACTCAAAGAGGTCGCACATTGCTTCCCACCTCAAAAGTAATTGCAAGTAAACTGTATTAGTATAAATCTGTATGTGTATATAAGTAGTATTACTTTGTAGTTTCAAAAATTTCTGGTGAGGTAAGAAGGAATCCTGTAATAATATATTATGTTATAAATAAATTGTGTGAAAGTTAGAACTTTTGTGTTATTTTTCATAGCATCCACCCCCACATTTATTTTGGCATTCATTACCCGGACAAAGGACAGGTACCTCAGCTTGTCAAATATATATATCCAAATATTTATATATTTCTATCACTGTGCAAAAAACAGAAATCCTGTAAATGATACTTATGAAATGGCTTCCACTGTACAATCAGGTCATACAATCCTTTAAACTTGCCATCTTTTTAAAAAATACAGACATCCAGACTAAAAATGTTCAAAATATTAACAACTTTTAGAGTCTAATTAAAATTACTGTTTATTTTCTACCTTCATAGCAAGCAACACTAAAGCAGCTAAAATTACAAAATACAAGAAAACAAACATTTTCCACCATGTAATGAAATTAAATATTTAACTACAAGTTTTCAAGCTCTTTACATTGATTTAGATGTCAGTATCATTAATCTAATATTCAAGTTTAAAGTTTTCAATAAGCACTTTCAACTGTAAAGCTATAATATTTAATTTATAAATATAAATAGTAAAATAAGTTATGTTACAATGTCTAATACTCACAAGTTATTATTTGCAATATAATTTGTTCAATATTACAAGAATTTGTAGATAGTTTGTAAACTCACTCTTACTTTTCACAAACGAGATGTTTCATCGCACATTTTAAACACAAAATTCACTCAGTTCTGTGGGAAATTCTACAACATTCTTGCTACAGATTACGGATTTAGATGTTTTACAGAGGATCATGAACATTTAACAACTTTCACCTCTACATTTTAATTCCTTTAGATATTGTTTACGGTAACAGTAAACACCTTTAATATACTGACCACCAATGGTTTTACCTCATGTTAGTTTAAATGATTATTACATAGATAAAATTCTGTAGATAAAACAATCCAGTTCACTATGGAAATAGAAGAACAAAACAGCCTACCATTTTTTGACATACCCATCAGCAGACAAGGAAGAAGAAAAACCCACCCACACTAACAGATACCTACACTTCCAGTTCAATCACCCATTCTTAGTAAAACATGTTATAATCTAATGCCTGAACAAAAGAACAGAAAATATTTTTGATGAGACATCCATCAAAACAGAACCATAAAAGATCATAGTGTTTTAAACAGAGTTACACCTCTATCTTCATCAAGAACTCCCTGAAGACCACAACAGAAAGAAAAGATAAGAACACGACTACTACTATTTGCCTCCCATACATACAAAATTTCAGTGAAAAACTCAAATGCATAGCCATAAATTTCAACATAGATGTCTGGTGGAAATCTTACAAGACAATAACATCTCTTTTAATGAAAACCAAACAAAAACCTACTTATGAAAAGCACAAAAATTTAAACTACGAAAGCCCATGTTCCTCCAACAAAACATACATTGGAGAAATGGGAAGACAACTCAGGACAAGACTAAAAGAACACAAACACAGCAAAATACTCATGAAAAAACAAAATTCAGCCATTGCAGAAAACACCATGTCAACTGGACACAAAATAAACTGGGATAAAAAAAAAAAGAATAATTGACACAGACGAATTTTGGAAGACAAGAAAAATTAAAGAATCTTTCTATATCAATACAACAAAGCCTTCACTAAACAGAGTCTGGAGATTAGAGATGAGCAACCTATGGCTACTATTGGTTGAAGCCACATGCAGCCATTCCACCAATCAAAACCAGGGATAAACAACCAGTCATAACACATCCTCCACAATCTACCAGGATACTGTGAAAGACCTACAATAGCTTACACATGCTGACCTGAAGATGAAAGACAGAAGACTTTCAAAATGTCGTCCTCTATGGTTGTTGTTTTTTCTACAAAAGGCAGTTGCTACCAATTCCAGTACACGTTACTGACATTTCTTCAGACAGTCTTTCATGAATAAAATAACCTCAACAAAGACCAAAGGCTTGAAATATGCTACATTTATCTATCTGTATTCAGACAAAATTAAACCCTAACTTTTGTAACTTAAGATATCTGCAACTGTTTTAAAAACGTTATTGTCCAATCCAGTCTTCAGTGAAACATTTCAATAACTTATCATTTCCCTCAGTGTAAAAACGTGCAAAACAGTATATATTTTCAATTAATATACAGGTCATAAATAATACATGTGAATGACAATAAACAATGTAAACTTTCACATTTTACATCAAGTCTAGCTTACTAAAGCATTTACAATAAATACTGTAAACTTTAAGGTTTTATACCAAGCCGAACTTATTAAAGCATTACAATAAATACTGTAAACCAATGTTTGTCAACTGGAGTTCTGCAGAATCCTTGGGTTCCATGAGCATACTTCAAGGGTTCCACAAAATTCTGTAACTTGCAAAAGGGAGATAATGGATAGAGAATATTGGGTTCCGACTAATATTACCTGCTACTTGCAGGGTTCCTTGACCAAGAAAAGGTTTAAAACCACTGCTGTAAACTTGAAGGTTTTGTACCAAGTCTAACATACTAAAGTAATCTTTGCTTCTAGTGGCTTCTGTTAGTAAGTCTTACTAGTTACACTGTTTACATTTTCAACAAAAATACTTTGAACTTATAATTGTGTATAAACACATAATAGAATATCTGAAAATATGTTTAACACACAAAGGGGAGATGAAACTGCAACCTGCATGCATGTAACCTATGTACTGGAATTTTCTACTCACAAAGAAAGGTTTTTGAATAACACAGCACATCTTTTAACTAACTTGTACTACAAAAGAACATCAATAAAATTAGCAAAAGTAATCTTGTCTCACACTGGAATCCATTGGATTTATTTCAAACAGATAAACTAAAATAAGAATCCATAAAAACAACATTTTTTTCTCCTTTTTTTCCACAAGTGAAAAAGTACCACCAACTTTATCAATGCTGAAGAGCTCTAACAACACCATTAAGATTATTTTTTAATTAAGAGTCCAATAATTCCTCATTTTCAAGGACTAATGACTGGAATGAAAAAAAACAAAACATTAAAGTATGTAAAACATATTAACTAATGAGACACAAGATAAACCTCACCTCATCAACAGTCTTTTTCACAACTTTACCATTGTACATAAACTCCTTTGTGACAATCTTCCGCACAGTGACACGTATTAACAAAGATGTTGATTCTTCTTTCTTGGGAGTTTCATTGGTTTTTTCCTTATCTTTGGTTGCAGGATCCTTTAAAAAAAACATGCCAAATTCACATAAGTATTGCAAAATACCAGCAAAAAATGTGTTGTGAGTCGATCATTAACACTTGAGGTGACTCATGTAAGTCTTTTAAAACATGAATATAAAATAATATTAACATATAAATCTCCATGTCTTTCAATCCAAGTTTTTTTGGTCAATCTTTTTAAAGACATCTGTATATTACAAGATTTTTTATATACAAAGTTCTTCTACATATTCATTAACTACATGGATCAACCTTAAGCATACTAGTGTATATTTTTACAAAAATTCTTACAGTATTCACATAAAAACAAAACTTTAAAACTTTCCAGTAATTTTTACTTTAAACTTTTTCTTTCATCTTAGAAATTCAATTTGATTAATATTCATTAACATTTTTTTGTAACTTTATTTCGCTAACTGAAGTAGTCACCACTTATTGCTGTAAGTTGTAACAAACACCATATAAGCTTCAAAATGGTGTCAGGTCTGCCTAGGTAAACAATACTTTTTTGTTAAAAATATTCTTGCTGCCTTAGGAAGTAAATTTTTAGGAGTGAAAAGAAGTTTCCTCATTAGCCAAAATTACAGATAGTCTACTAGTTCAGCCAATGATGACTCCAAGAAACACCCACAATTAATAACAACATAAAAGAGAAGTTTCACAATTGCAATAGGTAAGCTGGGGGAGTGGAAACATGCTAATGCAGCATTCAAGCAAAGGAATGGTTTTGGAAACAGAAATGAAAATGTTTGTAGTGCATGGGATATGTTGTTGTTTTTTTAATCTGATGGTACAACTATTGATGCTTTGCCCCTGGTGGTCCTATAAGTCACTTAATTCTTTCACTTTACAATTGTAAGGTTATTTTTCGTTTTGAATATGCATAGCAAGATATCTGAAATAACGGTCAAGTATTGTTTTGATGGTCAAGTATTGTTTTGATGCATTCAAAGTTACATTACTCACCTGTTAACTTTTAATCTGATAGATAGCAAGTGTTTTTCAAACTTCATACTTTTGATATATAATTTTCTATACTCTAAAAATGAATTTTTTTTCAATAATAAATTACCAGCATAGTTTTGGTTTATAAATATATATTTAAATGTTGTTGTTTTTTTAATTTTTACAAATTCAAATCAAATCAATAAATGTTACACACACACACCTGAACAGCACTGGTTTCTATTCTTCTAGGAGAATCTGAAACTTGGGAAACAGGTTCTGAAGATGTTATTTCAACTTGAACTCCTTTTTCTTGTGTTGAAAGGGATGGTGATAGTACACTCCTCTCTGTCTCACCTGCCAGAGGTTGCTTCTTGGGTAGCTGACTTGACAGTTTTTCTTGCTCTGGCTCTGATGTTTGTTTCTTTTGTTTGACAACAGGCTCCACATCACTTACTTCTATATGCTGATGCTTCTGTGTGGGTCTTTTTAGGACTTTCTGTCAAAGATGGCAGAAAAAAGGGTATTATTTAATAACATAAATGTACATTATAAATCACACAAGCAAAGTAAAATTTTGATGAAATTGAAAATATATAGTAAAATGCAAGAGTGACTTTGGTCTTTATACTAATCTTAAATAACTTAACACTATTATATATTAAATTTCAAAATTTAAGTAAATATAGTAATTCTAACTACTTCAACAAAAATTTTTAACCAAATATATTTTAGAATTCATATTTTGTAACTCTATAACATTTATCTAATGTATAAAGAAAGTAAACATTTGAACTTTGATCTCTGTGCAGGTCTGGGGGGGGGGGGATTTTCCTGTAAACAACAGATCAATTTTTTTTTTAGAATTAATTTCTATGCAGATCCCCAGATATAGTTTTATATTCACTCAAAAAACTTTCATCACTTGGAAAAAGACTTACTCAGATTTTATTTTTCACATGACTTTCCTCTTCTGTCAGTGATTCTGCCAGTCTTTTATGATGTCACAGTAAGTGGGTTGGACAGTAACTAAAATCTTAGCTTTGAAACCAGATAGAATCAATGGTAAAAATGACTGTATCAAAGAGATTCTTATTTATCTACCTCAATATAAAATAAACTGGCATAATCTGAGGTTTCTGAGAAAGTAACTAGCAGAAATTCTCAGGGGAAGAGTAAAAGATTATAATACAAAGTTTACAAAACTTAGGAAGATGCCACAAACCTGGAAGTTTGTTGTAGTATTTTTTCACATTCTTTTCATTCATGCTATCTTTTTTTTGTGTTATATCATATCTGTTTGAAAGATACAGCAATATTCTTGCATGAAAATACATCAGGTAAAGATATTTAGGGTTAGTGAGTATAGCAAGCTAGGAGTTCTGAGGTGGCAAACTATTCAGATAACACAAAAAGATTTATTTGTGGATATTAGTACAGTTATTGTCAATTAACATATACTAGAACTTCTAAGTTACTGAAAACAAATTATAATTATTAGAGACACACTGAGCTTGACCGAAAATACAGTTGGAAAAATAATACCTATATCAATATAGGCCAGAGATGCAAGTTCAAGTTTTATTTCTTTCACAATGCTTTTACTGCTCGTTTTATGCTATTTTAGCAGCTACATAACTACTTCAATAGATAACGATAAATAGCAAATAATGCAAGTTAGAACACACTAAATATTTAAAATAGAAGTTTTTGATCAATAATATTTTTTTAAAACCTATTTTTATTTATTTCATATTTTCCAACAGTTACTCACATTGGATGTCAGAGATTGTATGAACAGACAAGAAAATGAATATGGTGTTACTCGGGCAAGATAGACACAAAAATTATAGTTTTATTGAAAAAATATACCTATTGGGTACACTTATAAGATTTTAGGCACACAATGAAAAAAAAACAAAAAAACAGAACTCTAAAACAAAATGAAGTACTTTTTATGCTAACAATATTATTGGTTGAGATAAATTTATATCTTATAAATACATTTTTTTTATTAAATAATAAGTTCTTTTATTCATGTGTTGTTTGAATATGATAAATTTAATAACAATTAAATATTTACCTTAGTCATCTACTGTAACTAAGTTTACCTGATGTATTGTCATAGCAGAAAATTTCAGAAACAAATAATTTAACATAAACATTTTCAGGAATGAAAAGCATTTAGAGAATTTAAAGAAACTATAGAAAATCCTCAGATCTGTAATTTGTCTCTAAGTCTTTTAAATTTTATATTAGATTTTATTGTTCATCCTTGTGAAAGTTTGTGCTCTTATGGCAGTTTGTTTTAGTTTAAATATTCTTGGATTTTTAAGTTAACTACTTCCATGACTTGCCCGAGGTAACTCGAGTGTCCTCCATGTTTCAAAAAATATTTGCTCAAGTTAATTTGGGCAAACCATTTCTCACTGTACTTTTCGTTGTTTGCCCCAAATTTAGCATGTATTACAATCAGTGCTCACTAGATGGCATTGGAAAAGCTGTTTATTCCCAAGTCTTTCAAATTTCCCATTAGACTCTATTGTTCATCCTTAAAGGAGCTAGGTCTTGTCACTTTTCTACAAAAACCATAAATTATTTCACACACCACTTTATTCACTCTTCACTAATATAAATAGTTTATAAACCATTCTGTCCAGTGATATTTAAACTTTGTCTGTATATATTTTCAAAGCTAGGCTTCACTAGTAGTTGTTTATATTACATGCTGTGAGATCATAAACAGGTTGAAACATGTGGTTGTAATAATAAAATCAGTAAAAAAGAAGGAAAGTCAAGTGAGAAACAAAATATGGTTAATTATTTTCTCAATGGATTATAGTTTCTTAATAAATACAAATCTATGCTGTGGGATGGGGAGAAAATTTTATTTCAATATGATGTGTTGTTACATGCACAAATGGGCAAAAATATTTTTCAATTTTTTTCAATTCTCTTTATGCATTACACTAAATAAATGTTATGAAATATCAATTATAAAATATTTATGAGTTAAAAACTGTTGAAACAGTAATAATTACTATCTTTACTTAAATTTTGAAATTTGATTTGCAAGTTAGCACAGCAGTCACAATAGAGATAAAATTAAATGAAGTACCGCATAAGTTTACTTTATTTTCATATTGCAATAGCTCACTAATGCATAAACTCTACACCTAAGTCTTTTTTTGACATAATCTCATAGAATGCCATTGTTATTTATCCTGTACTTTCTTTTCTTTTTGTATTCTTACTTTCTTAAGAGTTTATTTGAAAATATGAAAAAACAGATGATCGGTATCTGAAAAGCTAGCTTATTTTTTATTTCTACAACACGATAACAAAATCCACTAAGACACATTCATTTTCAGTATCTCACTTATATACAGGAAGCTATTTTTCAACAGTATTTCAAAATGTTATTCTAAAGATTAATCTATCAATTAGTAATTATCAAGGAGTAAGAATATCATTATTATTATTACAAAATGTGTATTTACTTTATCTGTAGAAGAAGCTAAAAGTGAGTAGATTTCACTTCCTATACAGATGCTTTCAAAGGGTAGTTCTAGGTTCCCCATGCACTTATGGACAAATAATTTTAATTTCTTAGAGAAATATTAGCAAATTTTCTGTTATCATGGGTTGCTTGACTTAATTTAAGAAAAATTCCATCTTTCAATATTTTCCTTAAGAAAAATGTTTTATGTTTTTGATATATATCCAGCCTATGTTTACAAAAACACTTTTTTTTGAGCCTATCATGCTGAAAGTTTGCCAATAAATTAAATATGTCCACAAACATTATTGGATTATTCTTCTACCATATTTCTTCTTCCTTATTTAAAGCTAAAGTTTAAGGCAACAGATTAACAATTAAGTTTATGTATTTCAATTATGATATTAGTATGTAATACTGAATATGTTACTTTTTATATTCCATTTTTTGTTTTAATACATTAAATTGTTTTATATCACTTCTATTTATGAGCAGAGTTTAATATTCTAAAACTGTTAAGTGTAGTTGAAAGCAATTTCTAACAATACTGTATTGTGTAATAATAATAATAATAATTACTAATCTTAGTAGATACAGCTATAAATTAAAATAGGAGGAACATAAAGCTTCATACTTTGCCCTTTTCCTTATCACCTCGTGAAGACATCTTGTCTTTCATCTCATACGAAACAGAAATATCCCCTTTCATTGTCTGTTCAACTATACAAAAGTAACAATTTAAGATGGTCACTCTCAATCTAGAGAACAACAATTCAAACAACTGTTTAGTTGTGAACACCGTACGATCTTTAGCAATCGAGATATGAAATGTCAACTGAAGTGATTATAAATATTAATAATTATTCAATTTAGCTTTCTTGAAATTAAACACTAAACCTATACCAATTATTTTTAGCATGTAGAAGAATAATTCAAGTTTACGTTTTTTGGAATCAAAACAATTAGGTATTTTCTCAATCTAACTTCCTGCTGTTGCATCTTATAGTACTTGATATAAAACCAGATACAAACCTGTCATTACTTCCTGATCTTGTGTTTGGGATATTACTGGTGATCTTCTTCCTTTAACTTGCTAAAAATAAAACAAGCAAAAAGGTGAGGGGAGTGACTTGGAAAAGCTAAAGTATATTCTACAACAGCCTGACATATTCAATTATTAAGTATTTCAGCAGTTTATTTTTTTAAATCCTTTTCACACACAAACATATACATTACTGCATAAAAGATGTGTATGTAATTCTTAATAGGCGTATTTTATTAACAAGGGACATATGTACATATATATATATATATTATATGCATATATGTGTAAATCCAATATACATACTTTCCTTTCAGTAATAACCCGTTTAAAGTATTTCCTATATCCCTTCCAAAAATACATATTTAAATCTTTTCAATACGTTTCCCATCCAACACACCCACCATTAAAAACATTTTTGTTTGATGTCCCAAAAACTAAGTACTGGGTCTGGTATCAGTGTTGTTGTAGTAAAAATTTAAGAAAATTACCAAGTCTTCTTTATTTTCATAATTTTATTTAAAATATGTAAATAATAGAAACTGTCTAGTCAGACAGATAAAACTTGGGGGGATGCACAGTCTTTGTTGTCAGAAACTCAGACAATCATGTTCCTAATGTTGATTTAGCTTTTGTACAGCTAAATAGATTTAAATTGCAGAGTAACCAAATAACACAAATGGCTTTTTTTTAAATTAACCAAAAAGTAATTATAACAGTTTTTCAAATTAATTTTATAATCAACAACAATAGAATGCTTTACTTGTTGAGTGTACAAAGATTAAATGGAACTTACAAAATAAGATGAGAATAATTATATATCTTTCATACCCTGAAATGTGTCAGTTGACAGTCATCACTTTTTTCCAATTCTCCTGATAGCTCTAATTCTGGATCTTTTGTTGGCTTATAACACACAACTAATGCTCCTTCATCAAGACTATCATTACCTTGTGAAATTTTAGGAGTAGAGGGAAGTTCTGAATCTTCATCCTTTCTAGATGGGTTGCTTATTGGCTGGCCTGACCACGAGCTGAAAAGAAATCTCTAAAGCAAAACACACGACAAATAATTTCTGTTATTAGTGTTATCATGCTATCAGCTGTCTTATACAACTGCATTACATATAACAATAACCCAACAAGTATATCTAAGCTCGTATCTCTCCATGTATATGAAATCAACAATATTCTTCTAAAAAAACTAACAGTTACATATAAAAATTGTCTGCGTTTTCTTCTAAACTCACCACGGCTGCACAAGCTATACAAATTTTATTTACCACAAAAGTAACTGCACTATTCTTCTTAAATCACCTGTTGGCATTGAAGTTAGTTTTCTCACATTCTACTAAAATTGAGAAACTGAACTTGTTATAAGTATAAATTACAAGTATATTGATGGGATAATTTTTTATTTGTGCACTAATCTTAGGTACACATACAAAAACTGAATGAATTTCCTATGAGAAGCAGGGACAGATTTTAATACATTTTAACAAGATATTTTAAAGATGTCAAATTCAATAAACAGAGTAAATACATTATATGTTATTGTCTGACATGAGCTTTTGTGTAAATATTGATCAAGCGAATATAGTTTACTTTAATATCTAATTATAGTTTGATGAAGTTCAGGCTGAATAATTATATAATAACAACTTTGACACTGAATCTGTAAGAAATCACTCATTACTGCTTCTGAAAGAAGTCAAATTAGAAAAAATATTTTTATTAGCAAAAAATACTTTCTTAAAATTTAATAAATATCATGTAAACTGCAGATTTTTTCACAATCCTCTTAATTTATCCATTTCAGATCTATCTTTTGTGTCCCATAAGGCACTACCCAAGAAGCCTTTTGTTTGATGCTAGAACTTGTCACTGGGTAGTGATTTGTGGGAGATAAATGATAGATCCGAAATGCTATTTTTACAAGCCTCTGATTTCGATTCTGAAATGGTTTAATTAAAAGAAATGTGAAAAAAATCTGAAGTTTACATAATTTTATAACAAATTTTAGACTTATTGGTTGCTAATGTTTTGCCAAATTTCAGCATTTAAATCACAATTTTTTAGTAAGTCATACATCTTTCCAGTTAGGAAAAAGTAAAAATAGTATCCTTGAAAACGTTTATTTTCCAGTAATCACCCAATAATAAATAAGATAATAAAACTGCCTGAATATATGTTGTAAACAGATAGTTAAATAAACCTAGTTATATATTACTATATACTTTTATTGTAAAACCAACTAATACATAAATGAAATTTCAAGATACAAATAGTATCAAACCAACTTTGGTGTGTGTATTTCTACACACACACACACATATATATATATATATATAGCTTACAAACTATTGATTACATTAATTGTTAAAAGGTGATTAAATTTAGCTAACTATAAAACAATAATGAATTAAATATTGCATTACTGTCATCTGTCCAGGTTGTCAACTTATTGTCATAATGGATAACGTCTGCAGTAATAGCACCAAAATGCATTGGGAATATCCCATCTATCAACAAAATTCCAAACACAGACATCAATCTAGTCAGCCATCATGGAAAATCATAAAAAATCAATCAGATAAGAGTATGATGCTGAGTGCTTACACGCACAACGTCTCAGCTTCTACTGCCGTTCACAGTCTATAGCCAGTTGTGGGAAGGCAGTTACCCTTAAATTTCTTAAATTAGAAATGAATTGAAATTAAGCCACCCTAATATTTCTACTAATTAAACTCCCAACCTCCACCCTTACAAAAAGATATTAAATAGAACTATAAAATATTGAATAGAACTAAAAGATATTAAATAGAACTAAATAGAATAATAAGTTTACAACCTGGACTGATAATGGTAATGCAATATATATATATATATATAAAAGAACATATCATAACTTATTTTTCTACTGACCCTTCAGAACCTGCAAGAGGTTGAGTGTCCTCCACAACAGCTGATTTTAGCTCCTTGATTTTAGTAAATATTGTGGACTTTTGTGGTGATAACTGTTTGTCCATCTGCTCCTTTTCCACATCTCTCAGTCTAGCTGGAACTATTAAATAAATCAGAATATAAAGCAGTTCTATATGTTCAAGTACTGAAACACAAAGTTAGTCATTATAAAATGTTAAAAGTCTTATTGATCTCATAATAAACCTATAATCTAAAAATTTCTAATATATATATAGTCATTACTTATAATTGTAAATCTTAATACTTGTAACTCATTCATTCTAGATACCTAAATTATTAATTTTCACAAAAAAATTCATATTTTTCTGAAGGTAATTTAATATCTGATGTGCAAATTATCTGAATAAGCACAATATTAATCTGGGCCAGTGGTTTAAAAATATTTACTGAAAAATAACTCATCAAAGCTTAAACTATTCCAGTTATTTTCTTGTACGTTTAACAGTAAATTTGGTTCAATTTATGAAACTTTCAGTGCTGCTACTCTGTATTATCATAACAAAGTATGTAAGACATTACAAAAAAAAAAAGATACAAAAATATAGCAAATAACTTATAAAATTTACACCAATTTATTGTATATATAACTGCTGTAAGGAGAACTTTTACCATTTAGACACCTTATCCTAAAAAAAAAAAAGATTCAAAAATGTCTATTTGTGCCATACAGATGTAGAAACTGTACCACAGATGACCTTTAACCCATTCCTCCTATACACTAGAATAACACTTGTTATTAATAATTGTCACTACATGAAATATCTAAGATAGGCATAACACCAATATATGTAATACAATGCTACTTTTGCAACACTTTGGGAAAATGTATGGGTCAGTTGTTGGTAAAACAGATATTTAATGAAACAATAAAAGCAAAAAAGTTATGAAAGAGGTAGCACTGAATTTCATACTTGTCTTAATGATAGTTACACATATACTCCTTCCATATGTTCAAATTTCACTTTTTTTTAACCCGAACTCACACTTCACACATAAAAAACCTGACATCGAAAAGATGCAACAACTATCAATTATTGCACATTTAAAACTCAATAGCTAAATAACAAACGTAAAAACTCATTTCGATAATTATAATGACAAAACATGTACAATATAATAAAAACCATGAATTTTTCTGTCTTGTTTAAAAACACCCGTGAAAGTTTGTACTTCTTAGTTGTTTACTTTATCCCAAATATTCTTTGATTTTTTAATTAACACCTTCCATGATTTGCCTGAGCTAAACTCAGGTGCCCTCCAATGTCCAAAAAAATATTTGCCCAAGTTAATTTGGGGAAAACATTTCTCACCATACCTTTAACTACTTGCCTCAATTTATTCACATGTTATCATGTATTACATTCAGTGCTCACTAGATGGCATTGTAAAAGCTGTTTTGATCTCTATCAGATTTATTCTGAATAATGTATCATAAACGCTAGAGAAAGTATTCCCATTCTTTACTGTAGTTTCACTGAAATAACATATATCACATATAAATCTAGATATGTAACATTTATTTCTCATTTATTGGTTGTAGCTCTTAAAAAAGAAGTTTTTTTTCCCAACAGGAGTAAACACAAGGTTGATGTATACACACTTTTAGAATTATTGATTTTAATGAATATCCTTCGCTTTTTTTCAAACCTAGCTTACCAACAATGTTTTGATTACACAAGAATGTTAAAAAAATTTACATGTTAGTGTAACTTCAATTGAGATAAATCATATATTTTTTTCATTAATTTATTTTGGTGCAGTGGTTATTTCATGTTATTTCATTATTTGAGAAAACATCTAAAATTTCAGAACATAAAATAAGTTAAACTTACTCTCAAAAGAAAATTGAGGTCTAGATTGAAATGTTTCTGTTCTAGGAAGTAAAACACCTTCTGAACAAGGGGATGTTTCTTCAATCCCTTCTGTAGGCTCAATTATTTGAGATAGTGGTGTGGCTTCCTTTGTCTCTTGTGATAACCTTGATTTTTCAGTTTGTTGTGATAACACTTTGGCTTCTTCAGTATCTTTTAAAGGTAATGTAACTGGCTCAGTTTCATCCAAAATTGGTGAAGTCTTCACAGTTTCTTTTGAAAGTGAGAAAGATGAGCCAGTCTGGTGTTCTTTTTGGATGGATGTTGATATTTTATCCAAAGAGCCTACATTTATTTGTAACATTTCAACAATTTTAATTAACATATCAAAAAGTAGATAAGTTTGAAACACAAGTTTTTTTTGTTAATTTATCATTTTTTCTGCATTATTTTACACATAGCTACATTATTGCATGGCTTTTACTTAATCAGAATCCCTCAGAAAAATGACAAAATCGAAAATAAAATTTGCAATTGCAAGTAAAGACATGTATTTTGTTACTTTTTCACTAAAGAAAGCAGGAAAAATAAGTCATTAAATATTTGTTAAAAGAAGAAACAGAATATTAAATATAAAAAAAGAGCACTGGATATCATACAATTAATTTAGGGTAAAAAGCTGGATGAAACTACAACCAAAATTGATACTGTATAAACAAGTATTGTATTAAATAAGGCTTAGAATACTAACAGTAGAAATAGTTGTTCCCATAGAACTCAGTGATTAGTGTAACTTGGTAAATGATTACATTCAATTAATATATTATTATTACATGAGACTTGCATAGTAGGAATAAATAAAAATAGTAATAATCAGATATACTAATTTCAATTATTAATTAATTTTGTGAGTTGTGACACTAATTAGTTAAACAATTTCGGATTAATGAAAAATTATAAAGGCAATAGTTCATTTACTTGAATATTGAAATAACCAAAGACAGTAAAAACTATAAATGCTAATTTCAATTAGTTTATTACTTTCATGACATTAGCTCTTTCACTATGGCTGGCTGGGTCAAAGTGTGCAAGTCATGCCCTTTTACAGGGTTACATTCAAAATTTACTTACATCACTTTAACATCTATGTATGTCAATAAACTTGGCATGAAAATGCAGTTTACAATTCAAATTTTCATATAATCCAAGTTTCAACTACTTGATTTTGAAAAAAAAAAATACAAATATTATCAACTCTAATTTTTTTATTTAACATGATGTGTCTGAGTTCTGACTTCCCTTCAAAATTTTATAAAGTCAAATACAGACTGTTGCAGTTTCCAACCAATAAGAAATGCAAACTGTACATAATTACAAGTAAAAAATCTAAAAAATTGCACCTTCTTGATTTATTGAGAATTCAATATATGTCAAACTCACCAGAGAAGCCCCTTCCCCTCCCCCCACTCTGGTAAGAGCAGATTTTTCTCTAAAGGATGCTGGTTACCAGTTGCTTAGTTCTGGCACCTGTATTATTTGATTGACCATAGTTATATACCATATTTGCTGGTGTATAAGACAATCCCATGTATAAGATGACCCTGGATTTTTTGAGCAAAGTTATAATTTTTCTATAATGAAAATTTATTTCTGATAGGTACTTCCCTCTTCTCACAAGATTAGGTATTCTCGTCTAGTGCTGCCCTCCATATTAAATTTTTTTTCTTTATGCATGCCACAAGCCTTCTGTTCCCACCTATTGGAATCAGATGATTCCAACTTGTCTCTCATGTAAATCATCATGCTCCACTTCTCCACCAATAAGAGCATGACATACTCACATGACACATATAACTCCCTCTATACACCTCTACCGAACTATCACTTTGAGGTTTGGCAGAAGATGTAGGCACCAGAGGAAAGTGGGGAGGAAGGGTAAGTGGAAGGAATTACCAATAAGAAATACATTTTCAGTATAGGAAAAGTATAGCTTCTGATATAGTACTTCCATCTGCTCACAAGATTACCCAGTGTGATGGAATGACAGAAATACCCACTGAAAGCATCCGAAGGATACTCCTGAAAATGAGAGAGTCAGATCCGAAGATCTGATGAGGGGAACCACACCACTTCTGAACTAAGTATACTCTTCGCCCAATCATGAAATGTGTAGTAGATAAGGGCAGAAATATAGAAGAGCACATCCAAGTGGGAGAGAACTGTGGCAGGATAGTGATCCTAATCATGTAATTATATATGTAACTCAATCTCACAAAGTATAAAAGTGTGTAAAATAATGTATGCGCCCTAGGTGTAGAGGCTAGGGCACAATGGACCGTACTCAGTAAGTCAACTGCATCCAAAACCCATGCCACTGGGAATTGACATTCACGAGGAGATAGAATGAGGATCATACCATCTTCACCTCAAGTTCAAGAGACCAGTGGGAATCTAGAACCATTCCGACTCCTGAGCATGACATGTGTTAGCTTTGATCTATCAATCCAGGGACCCGACATCCAGTATCGGAAGTATATCTATATAATATAAGTCAATTCCCCAACAGTGGAGCTGACTGGAATCAATCCGAAAAGCAATAACATCTCAGAATAAGATACAAGAGATAGCAAAAAGGAGAGAACCAGAACAATCCCCCTTACCTGTACTGTGACCCACAACACAGGAGTATGATCGAAGGAGGAATATAGACAACCATAAACATGTGTGAGGACTTATGTTGATTGTTCTACTCTAGATCCAAAACCCAGTGACAGGGAACTGACATCCACACGGGAGTAGGATGAGGGCTTCCAAATGAAGGGGTGAACTTCAATCTAACATCTCACTCCTTTGTGAGTGTATATTGCATACTGGAGGATAGCATGTCATCTACACCTGCAGAACACCACCACCCTACTCTTCATTGAATAGTTATAGCCATCTTTGTGTGAAACTCATTCAGGAGGTTACTTCCACGGGGGGGTGAGAACGAGGTGGAGCGTCCAGGGGAATGTCATCATCTGAGACAGTGCAATGGGTGACCATGAAACCCAATTTCAAAAAGCAGACCATACCAATTTATTCAATACAAGGTATGGAAGGGCTGGCCAGCTATTCCCTTCTGCTTTATTTATGCAGCCCATGGGTGGTACGGTCCAGAACAGGCAAGTTTATGAAGCAATTAGATCATGAGGTTATTCACCTATAAGCAATCTTTTGGAACACCCCCATATCAACACTGAGCATTGTGAAGACATGTAAGATAAAGCACGAGTCAATATGGCTATACAGTGCAGATTTCAAGTTGAAGAATACCTGGTCAGGCACTACTCACCACAGAACAAGATCCATATAATGAGTAAATGAAGCAAGGGCCCCTGAAAGGAAAATAAAAGTATGAATATAAACTTAGCCAGTCAAAGTCGCACTGAAGCCTGAAGAATAGACACAGGTGGAAGACGGAAACCGGACAATATGGAGTAAATAATGGTAGATGAACGTATTAGATGTAGTCCACATGCCTGATTGTAGGATTTCCTCCAATGACCGATGAAGACGAGATGTCAGGTGTCAAATCTGATGAGAAGACATCTGGAACAAATTCTGGGAGGAAGAAGACAAGGAGGAATAAGCCAATCAAATCAAAAGTCAAACCTAATTGGTGAGGGTAGAAGGGGAAAGATCCCATACAGAGGAAGACTTCCAGGGGATCCAACACTCGAAAACAGAGATCTCTCGATGGGTGCCTCCTTGGGGATTGATATGTGCTACCATTATATAATTGTCAGAATTAATCATCACCAGACATTGTCTGGTGAGAGAAAGGAAGTGATTCAAAGATTGACAGACTGTGAGAAGCTTAAGGAGGTTGATATGCAAAGATCTTTCTTCTATAGACCAATAGCTCGAAGCCTCCTGGTGATGGACCTATGCACCCCAGCCCCGAACAGATGCATCCGTGAAAACATGTAAATCTGGAGGAGTGGGAGAGAGTGGTACGCCCACTAACGTATGGGCCTTGTCAAACCACCAATGTAGATTGTCCATCAGGGTAGGAGGAAGGGTAATAGGAGCTGACATGGGATCCTGCACAAGATTCCATTGATTGTGAAGAGCCCACTAAATGGATCACATATGCGCATGACCAAGGGGGACCAGTGACATCATTGAAGACCACATCCCCAAAAGCTATAGAACCTAACAAACAAAAATGAAGGGAGCAGAAAGGGCATGGCAAACTAACAGTTCCATGGAATGAAGTCACAGAGAAGGTTGGGCCTAACTGAGATGAGTGTCCCAAATGGACAAGACATTGGGTAGGTTGGAGAAAGGACTTTTCCAATTTGATTAAACAGCCCAACCGAGCAGTCACTAGAAGGAGCTGATGAGTATGGCTGGCTAACTCCAGTTCAGAATGAGCCAGAAGAAACCATTCGTCCATATAATGGTGGAATCACAACCTCAGAGCATGAAGATGGTGGGCAAATACTCTGACCAACCAACAGAAAACAAAAGGGGTGGAAGCAAGCCCAAAGGGTAGGGTGCAAAATTGATCAACCACCCCATGAAGAATGAACCGAAGATACAGAGGAGACAGTGGGAATATAGGGATGTGGAGATAGGAATTGGCGATGACTCCATGGTAAAATGGGGCAGTTGAATGAAGTGATTGAGGTAGGACAAATCAATGACAGGCCTCTAGTCCCCAGTTTTCTTCAGAAAAACAAAGAGTCTGGAATAAAAACCTGATGATAGTAATTCCTGAACCACCTCCAACAGACACTGGCTGGTCATGGGATCCCGAGGTGGAGGGAAGGAAACAAGTATAGGTGACACAGGAGATGGGGAAAAAAAACGGGATCATGAATCCTTCCGATAAAACTTGAAGAACCCAATGTTCCTTGATGAAAGGACCCCAGTGATGAAGAAAATTGGCAAGCTGAGCTCCCCCTGGACCAGAACACACTGGGTAGTCGCCAATACTGTTGGCAATGTGATGTGCACTATCAAAGAAAATGACGAGACAAGGCACTCCGAGAAGAAGGGAAAGGAAATGGTAACAGGTGCCAATGTGGGCTCTGACTGAGACAAATAGGCAACAAGGTTGGAAAAGGTAGACTGTTGTTGTACTGATGCAACTCGTAATTCCAAAGACTCAGGGATCATGTCAAAGACATATCGCCACATAAATGGGGCCATATGTAAATCCCAAAGATGGTAAACAGACACGAGTTAAGGTCACATTACAACCTAGAAGGTCCCAACCAAGATAAATCATACAGTGGGCAGCACTGAATGAGAATAGCTAATCTTGTGAGAGGAGGGAAGTACCATATCAGAATTAAGTGTATTCCTTAGAGGTTCAATGTATAGGACGACCTCTGTTGTCAAGTCTAGGATGTAACTTTTGTAAAGAAATTCTTAGAAGTTATTTTTAAAATGTGCTAACTTGTGCTCCAGGGTAATCAGTACAACCACAAGTATGGTTTTTATGCTCTTCAATTGTTACAGACAACTCAATGTGGCATAACGTAAGTCACAAACATGTAATAAATAACTTTACAAAGTTTTCATCATGGTTGAACTCCTCTTCTCTTACAAAAAATACCAAACATTAAGATATAGTGATCTACTATAAAAACATGTTTACAAAATTAGTGGGCGTTACAGAAATGTTTTGAAATAATATTTTAGTGGCCCAATTAGCATATTTTTGCAATTTCAAGAAAAACAGCAGAAGTGTCAGACACAATAAAGAATGACTGTAGTAAATGGGGTGAAATTTCAGAAGTTCCTTACTAACAAGTATTTGGAATTCCCTCAAAAAAAGAGAAAAATTATTGTGCCCTTCTTTGAAAAATATCCTAATTTTCTAAAGTGTAAAATATGTTTCACTAACAAACTAAAATTATTTATGTTACATTAAACTTAAAACTTTCTGTTTAAAAATTAAACACTGAAAATTAATTTATTAATGTTTCCACTAGATTTCTTTACTTAATATAGTAACATAGTTTTGTTCATCTTCAGTGTCTAATAAGAAAGTTATCACCAAAATGTTTAGGCATTTAGGTAAATGTGAGGAAACATAGAACCAAAAGTGAGACCCTGGCCTACATAGATGCTCCTCAAGAAAAATTATTTCAATCCTGATGGAGGGCCTCAGATCGGAGAAAATAATAAAACAGATAGTAAAGAGATGGATCAAGTAGAAGGCAATGATGGAAGAAATGAGCCCTGGTAAGGAATACTGGAGACAGAGGTTTAAAACATTGTAGCAGACATAAGGGATTCCAGGGATTGAGGATCCAAGAAGGTGAAAGGGGAATGACCATTACTTATAACCAACAGAAAGAAAAAGTTTTAATTGATCAAGTGACATATTATATTACATTATTTTCTGTACAGAACATTGTCTATTATGCATTTAATTTGAAACTTTTTCTCATGATATTCACATTTACATAAAAAAAACAAGAGGAGACAGATAAGTACTATATTTCTTGAATTTCATGTGTATTTTTTATTTATCATTATAAAAGTAACTAAAATATAAAAATTAGAGACTTATTAGGTTAGATAAGGCAAGATAAAAAATAATTCTTCATGGGGTATGCTCACAAGCAGCTTGTGCATTATATAATTCAATATAGTAATGTGAGCTCCATATTCGTCAAGTGATTTACAACTTGTGTGACAGGATTATTAATTAGACATGGTTCAAAGGGCAATAAAATAATAAAATTAAGTGTTAACAGATATATACTGTTAAGATCTTTAAGCTATTTAGGATAAACAACTGTAGTTTCATGTTAAAACCTGCAGTTATAATAGAAAGAAAAAAAGAGTAACTCAGATTTATTTCGTATTTTTTCATAATGTTTATGAGATCAGTCAAATTGTCTGAATGGGTATGGAGTTAGAGTAGAGAAAATAACAGATCAAATATAAAGTTTTACTGAAAAAAAAAAATGTTGGATATTTATTTAGGAGGTTTTAGAGATTATGCAAATGAAATTTCCCAATTTTCAGATAAGGAAAAGTATTTTCAATTTTAACATGAAAATAACTTTGCACTCGGAGCAGTCAACACTCTGACTTCATACATTCACAGAAAAGTTTTTAGAAAAACAACTTAATTAAAAAATTTGATTTTTTGTGGACAAAAGGCTTGTAATGTTTACTGAAAGCCTGCCAGATTTCATGAAAATACACAAGACATGTTAAAAAAGTTATAGTACAAGAATGCTGATGGTCACTTTGGGTCCACAAACTTAGTCAAATCAACCGAGCCCATAGCAAGAGTTAAAGTGAGTTTCCATAACATGTCACAAAATCAAGCTATTACCATATTAAATAAATTCACTAGAACCATGAAAATGACTATCACAACTAATAAATTTCATTTCTTTAAGTTTATGGTGCTACTTTCTCAATATATCACAAAAATAACTTGTAAATGTATAAAACATGTAACAAACCTGTACTTATGTTTTCAGGTGACCCTTCTTGAGAGGAAAAGGCGAAAGACTGGGTGTTTTCAGAAGCAGAAAGATGAAGATGCCATTCTTCTTCCATTTCACCCTGCGATTCTGTTTTTTCTTCCTGAGCCATCTCAGCATCAGATATGCTACTGTATTGTTCCATTTCCAAGTGTTTTCTATGTTTAGTAGTAAGAACTGGAGATGAAGCTTGAGCATGGCGTTTTTCACCCATCTTTGGACTCTTCTTGGGTGAATCACCGACCCCTCTTTCCCTCTTGGGAAGCATGCGGTAGGCACGTCCACCACTAGAACAAGACTCAGGTGTTGACACATGTGAATGTGGTACAAGTGTTGTTGTTGTTGCTCCTTCTTGTAACACTTCTTTCACCTCTTGATGTAAGGTCTCTGGATCTTTATAGAAACTCTGTATTCGAGACTTTCGAGTTGCCAAGAGATCCCTAACCTTTTCTGGTGTACTTTCTTGAGAAGAGTCATCCTGGCTGAAACTTATCTTACGACAGACAGAGAGAGAATCTAACCTCTCTTCTGAACCAATCTGCTTATTTTCACTAGAAACCACATCTTTTCTTTCAGATGTTCTTTTTGTCGAGATGCCGGATGAGTGGCTGATAGCTTCTGAATATTGCTGTTGCACATCCTTGTTCTCACATTTTCTTACTTTTGCCAAAGAGAGAGAGATCAGAGGTTCCTGGGAGAGGTAAAGGGTGGAGTAATTAATCTATTTTATGTACTATCTGGTGAGAAAGATTCTACCTTTACAATGAAAGTAAAAAGTTTCCAACAAAGTACCTAGTTCATTAATATATATGAAATTAGAAGATAATCTTATTCAATGACAGAATACATTCTCCAATCCTGCTAACAAAAACTTTCTATAAAAACTTCATATAAATGCTTTATTTTCATCCAATGATGATGTTGTATTTTTACCACGAGTCAATGTATACACAGTGATGTTAGAAATTTATCCAAAGTAAATATATTTACCAATAAAAGTGCACCAGTTGTAAATAATCTTATACACATTGAATGTGTGGAAAATTGGGCTAAAAGGTTAGCTATAGTTATATTTTACTTTATGAAAAAAAATTCCATAAAAAAATATGTCACAAATCAAACATAACAGAAACCTTTATTAAACTGAGCAACAGAGTATGCCCACCCCCCAAGAAACATATAGATCTGTCTTTTTTTACAAAAAATAAAACTGGTTCACAATCACCCCTGAAAAATAAGAATTTTTGGGTCCCAAAACCACAGACTGTAGTTCAGCCTCTCTAAATTTCTAATTCTACAGCTAGTTAATTTGATTTACAGATTTGTAAAATAATCTTTACTTTTTATAACAAAATGCCTTAAAATTGATATAAAATAAAACTACTGGTACATTAGTTACACTACAGTATTAAAAAACTTAAAATATGAACCCCTATTGTTTTTTTCTTCAAGTACATGTTACCTTGAACTCACAAAACTATACAGTGCAATGAATTTCAAATACAGCAGAAAATTAATAAACAGTAGCTCAGCAACTCCTAAAATGGCCCACCTCTGTTTGCTTTATGTCTTTTGTATCAGGGTAGTCTGCTTCTAAAAGAAGATTCAAATGCAAAATATATTATTTTTATGAAAAACCAAATAACAAACTATAACTAAACAATCACCATACAGTTTACTAGATATATATATATATATATATATATATCACTCAGCAACAATTCTAAATACTTTAGCAGATGTACATTATAAAGTAAATATTTTATATTAAACTTAACAAAAAAGATGTGGATTTACAAGTAACAGTTAATTATTTTTTAACTTACCAATAAAACTAGAAACACCAAACATAACTTACGTCTCTCTACTTTATTAATACACTTGTTTTATTTCCTGGATCAATCATTGCACTTAACAACATTTACCATATATCTTGTAAATGTTTCATTTTAAGTTAATGAAAAATAAATTCATTTTACTTCCTAAACTAGTGGTTCTCGAACTGAAGCACACAGAAAATATTCTGGTGAGGTGTGAGAAGGATAAAAAAATAAAACAAAACCTAGTACTGCTGGCATGTCACAACTTTTAATCAACATCATGTGTCTGACTGTTGCCTTTTGGAGCTTCCATATTAATGGCCATAGTATTCCATCTGATGTTATAAGTTGCTTATCAAGCCCCTAATGGAACTGCCCTGCTCCAATAAACAGGTTCACCATTCTTACTAATAGGTAAGCAGTATCTCACATAAAATTTACATTATTTTATACTCACATGCATGTCTGTTTGCACATTTGGTGCACTATAATTTTCAACATTTAATGACAATGGCATAACGATTTTTTTTTACCATTATATATATATATATATATATATATATATATACACATGTATAGACAAGGTGTGCAACATACCATAGCAAGAAAGGGTGAACTATCTAAAAAATTTGGGAACCACTGTCCTGGGCCATTCATTTGGTTTGAGATCATTTTTCATACAGTTGTTTTCTAACTCTTTGACTAGTAATAAAATAATTATGTAATTTTCTGCAACTTACAAAAATAAGCTTAGAATGTGTAAGCTTTCATAGTTTTCTGTAATCAATCATTTACACTTCAAGAATTATTCTGTTGTTTACTTTTGATTTTAAAGGCTGTCAGATGAATTACTTATAAAACACAACTCATTACAGACAATAAAAAAAAACAAGTTACAGGGTTCTAGTTAACCCTAACTCTTTGGTCCTGTGTGCATGAGAATTTGTCAGGATGCATGAGATTTGAACCCCCGGGTACCGAATACGCACTGCAAAATGCTCCATATGCAAGGCAAGCATAAGTACTTTTCTTCGAACTTCGTACCATAACAAACTATACAGTTTACACACAGCTGTCCACAATCAACTTCTAACAGGTTTCATCAATGACAATAAATTGAACAAAAATTAAGCCATGTGAAAGTACCACATGAGTAACCCTTTCACCTCGGGTAGTTCAAAGTATGCATGTCACAACCTTTCACAGTTACATTCAAAATATAATTAAACTACCTTATTATCAATGTATATGAATAAACTCAGCATCAGAACATAGATAATAAATCAGTTTAATATTATTTAAGGTCTTAATTTTATAAAAAAATATTTTAAAACAATTTTTGATCTATCCTAGTATGAGAACCGTGATGTTTGTTATCCATGTCTTCCCTCTTCTCTAATTTGTTTACCACCCATCCAAGAAGTACGAAGTTTAATGTAAATTACTCATTATAATGTTTCATCATTCAGGCAAAGCATAATTTACATAGCCTTCAATCTTATTTAGTTACAGAGCAATAAAATAGAAAATCAGACCCCCTCTTGCCACGCTAATTAGTCATATCCTCTTTTTTTCAGAGCTTACCAATAGTTCTCTCTTGACATTTAAGACTATATTATTTACAGCCAAAAGAATGCCAAAGTTTTTCTCATCAAATGATGTATTATATTACATTGTTGCCTGTGCAGAGAATTGTCTGTTTTCCTTCCAGTTCAAACTTTATTCACATGGGAAACGCATCGATAAGCTTAGCTGAACTTTTAACGGCATTTGTTGCATAGTTAGAAAGCCAGAAAAATTGTGATAGTTATGGAACATTGTTTCCTTTCTGCAGGTTATTATTCTGTGTTCTTTGGTGCATTAATTAATTAAATAGAACTTTTTTAATGCAGTAGTACAATTAGTATAAAAAGTAGGGTTAAATTTCATTGACAGTCAAGAACAAAAAATAAAAAGACTGAGGTAAGTACTTTATTTCTTGTTTTTCATGTGTATTTTTTATTTATTATTATAAAAGTAACTCAAATGTAAAAATTAAAAACTTTTTAGGTTTAGCTAAAGTAGAATAAATAATAACATTAATGATAACAATAATTTTTTATGAGGTAATCTTGCATCATGTAATTCGATAACATAACGTGAGCTGCACATTCGATACTTGATCTGCAATTCATATGGTCTAAATAATATTTAGACATGGTTCAAATGGCAATAAAACAACAAAATTTAAGTAGAAATAGATGTATACTGTTACAAGCTTTAAGCTACTTAGGATAAACAAAATAAATCTATTTAACATAACATTTAGGGACAACAAATACATAATACTATGTATTAGCTCTGAAGAAGCCACAAAAGCAAAATATCAGTTAAAATAAAAGTTCTCTTACAATTAACTGGAGTTTAAAGGTAATTTTTTCTAATTTTATCATTAAAATGTGTAAATTTCTCCAGTACAACATTAAAAATTTTGAAAGACTTTATGTAAGTGTTCATTTGTTTGATTTCTAAATATTTTTAGTAAGACTTTTTAATTTATTCAAACAGTTAAGCTGTTTATTAATGGCAACACTTGCATGTGTAAATTTTTCCTGTGTTTACAATGTGAATCAACATGTACTGTCACATCCATGAAGGAGTAGTGGGAAATATTACTGGTGTAAGACCATGTGTTTCTGACAATGGTAGAATGATATACATTCTGAAAATAGAGACAGCAAACTTAAAAAACATTCCTATTACGAGATAATAAATTGAGTTCACTTCTAAAAGTGTATTATCTAAGATAATGAATGTATTCAGTGAAATTTCAAAACGTTATTTTTTCTTAGAACTTTGAAAGTTGAGAGCTTAGTAGTTACTTCTAGTCTTCTTCTTGACTGAGAATGCTTTAATGTTTCGTGTCAACCTCTTTTTTTTACACCGAAAAGAAAACCTTCAATCTCCGGACCAATGCACTACTTTAATAAATTCATAAATTTAACAACTGCACACCTATACTGAAAACATCTATATTCACTACTGAATGTTATGTTGAAAATGTAAGATGTATTCTCACCTGTTTCTGCCACATCTTCTTCTAGTGAAGGAGTGCCGGGAAACATTATTGGGGTAGGACCATAGGCTTCTGGTGATGGTGGAATGATGTACATTCTGAAAGTAGGGATAGCAAAACATTCCAATCAGGGGATCATAGTTTGAGATCACATTTAAAACTGCATTGTCTTAAATTCACTATATATTTACTGATCAAATTAAAAAGTTTTTAGCTATGATCAAGTAGTAATGTTTCTTTTTGGCATTTATGCAACTAGTTTAGCTCATTTGTAAAACCTGATAAAGCTATTTCAAAAATGGAACAAACAATTATCAAGCAATCTAAGATGGTGATCTGAATTGTTATAATTTTTAAATGCATGTTTTTTGTTATAAAAACATTCAGTATAATTCAATTTATCTAGCCACACTGAATTGAAATTTAATCTTTAAACTACTGAAGAAAGTTACAGAAATTAAAAACTATTTTCACTTTCACCATTATGAGTGTGACATTTTCAAGGCTCACTATACAGTGAGAGGATTGGCAGGAAATATTGCAAAGTAATACTAAGTTACTTCAATTGAGATAAAGCAAAGAAATAACTAGATGGGACATGATGTGAAACACAATGAAAACAACTGATTTATACCATTAAAATAATCAACTAATCAAATTAGTTGTTCCAATTATTACTGTTTTCAATAATTCCAACAATTAATCGATCAGAATTACGATGAAATTAACAGTCACATAAATAATCAACTAACTGAAATTGGGATTTTCAATTATGTGTTGTTTTTGATTATGCTATTATGTTTGTTTGTTGTTAAGAGCACAGCTACATTATGGGAGGGTGGGGGGAGACAATCTGTGATTTAAGGGTTTCAGGATTGATTCCCATTGCCATTAAATTTGCTAATCCTGTCTTTGTTATTGCAAAGCTACTAAGGCTCTCTGTCAATGTCATTAATTTTGAATTACTGACTACAGGTACCACTGACTGGTAGCACTCACCACCAACTTTCTGGCTACTTAACCTAGTTAGTTAGTTAAATTTTTGAATTTCACACAAAAACTACTCAAGGGCTATCTTCACTAGTTGTCTCTAATTTTAAAGTAATAAACTAGTCTTCCAATCAACAACACCCACTGCCAACTTTTGAGCTACTCTTTACCAACAATTTATTACCATCATATTTTTACATCCTGTAGCTGAAAGGTCAAGCATGTTTGGGGATGGGATTCAATCCTGTCTCTCTCTCGGACTGTAAATTGAATGCTCTAACCACCAGACCATGCCAGACTGGGTAATTAAGTATTATATAAAGAGAAAATTTACTGTTTCTTTTACACAGCATTTTGTTTGTAATCTATAACTGTGAAACTATATCCTTTAATGTTGTATGAGCACAGATTTGGGGGAAGAGCATAGGAGGTCCTAACCCCCCCCCCCCACCCACCCAAGAAATTAATAGCTGTTCAAGAAATTAACAGCTGTATTTTTTTAACATTGTATAAGCAGATGCAGATCTAGCTGAGGGGTCTGGGGGGGGGGGCACATTTTTTCAGAAATTAATAATTATTTAATGTTATATACGCAGTTATTATTTTCAATTTTCATTTCTGCCTGTAAACAAAACAAGCTACTTTTTGATTTTTTAAAGAATTTTTCTGCCTATCTCAAAGAATAACTTATTCAGTTATATTATCAATTTCTTGATTTTCTTAGGTTTTGTACAGGCCTTGGTTGAAACCTTGTTATGGTGCCATGTCAAGTGGTTTGATTATTTAATAATGAAATACAGCTTTGAAAACAGCTATAACAATAGTTTAAATATGATTGGTTAGAGCAAGAAGTAGGCTATCACATATTAGTAGAGTAAATATATAGGCTTAAGAGTTATTGTATTTGTGTGTTAAATTAAATCTGTTTGAATATTTCGGAAACTGTCTCCAATGAGAAGACATCGAATAACTTGAAATAAGGTAGATACGCTTAAACATTTTACAGACAAGTTGAATAAGTAACAAAAATAACTTATTAAAAGTTTAACACGGTACAAATGTATAATGTTTGGAGAAGCTTTGTTGCTATCAGATTTAAGTAGTTTACCTATAAAAAAAAAAAGGAATATATAGATATACAGTACAAAGCAAAGAAATCATATGGCTGAAGATTGCTTAAGGCTTAATAAAGACATTTTGTTGATGTATAACTCTTTGCTCAAAATTATAGTTTTTACTTTTTGATAAATATACTATGGTTTTATTGAGTTGCAATGTTTGTAAACATGAGGCTTTGTTTATGTTCATCCAATAAAATTGTCATCAAATTAAATAATTACTGTTTAGTGATGACAGTAGGCAATTTAAAAATACTGAGATGACAAATCTTTATTGAATATTGTTTTTATGTTTATCCTATTCAAACTACATACATAAATAAGTTGTCTAACTGGTTACATAATTATTTGTAATTGTAATCATGACATGTTTTAAATCAAAACATTATCATCATTATCATGAGAGTTAAACATGCTTTCATCACTGAATTATCAATATAGGTCAGCATGTAATTATTGCATATTTGAAAAACAAATAGCAATCATATGGTGGTATTTAGTCCACATTAGCAATTCATCCGTCCAATAGGAAATGAGAAAATTATTTTTGAAAAAAATGTTTTTCAGAATGCCCAAATGACAACTTTCTGGAAAGATCTGTCGTACGATATGCAAACAACAAATTTCCTACTACAGAAAACTCAAGTGATTTGAGGTAATTTGATGGTGCTGATTTCAAAATAGTCAGAATTTGTTCATCACCTCTAGATTTTTAGTTATTGTAATATCTCAATATTTAATCAGTACTATGTGAAACACCATGCAATCAACTCAGTACAATAGATTTATGCTGTGAAATTAAGTTTACTTGGACAGTTTAATGGGCAAAAGGTATAAATTTTTTGATAACTTCAAACACTGACTTTATTGCATTGGTGTAAAATTCCAAATATATTATTCATATATGCTACTTGTTCTCGACATAATTGTAGCAAATTGCACCACTTTTGCTTCATTCCCACGCTCACCTGCTCCACCCGAGAATCACGAAACCCTCATGTACTCAATTTGCTTGAGCATTTGAGAAGTCCCTCAATTGAATATAAAAGGAACAGTCAGATGCTTTTCACTCACTCAGTTGGTCAGTTTGCCTCCCTCTGCACATAGTCAAAACAAAGTCCGATCTTCTTCCTCTCATCATACCTGCGATATAATCAAATTCTGCAAAATTTTGTTTTTTAAAATCTTTTAAGCTCTAGTTCTGTAAACATAAATTATTTTATTTTTTTTTTGAAAATCATTTGAAATGCTAGTGGCTTCCATTTCAAGTAAAGTCTGAAAATGCAATAATCACCAATACAGTTTCTGCTACATTTGTGCAAAATATATTACAGTTTCACAAAGGAAAACCATCCCAAACAAGGGAAATGTAGCTTTCTATCACTATTTTGGGTGTAAAATTGGTGACCAAGAAAAACCTTGGGCTCCACATGTGTGTTGTACAGTTTGCACATCCGGCTTGACACCATGACTGAATAAGAGAGTAAGTGTGCCATTTGCAGTTCCCCTCATATGGTGCAAGCCCAAAGATCATTTAACTAACTGTTATTTTTGCATGTTTCTGGATATTCTGGCAAAATTAAACAAGATATTAAATATCCAGATATTGCACCTGCAATGAAACCTGTACCTCATGGGGATGGTCCTCCAGTGCCACATCCACCAGCAAACTGGAAAACAAAAGAGTCATCCTACAAAGAAAACAAAGAATCATCTTCATCCTCTTCATCTACTAATTCTACTCCTGTGGCACCTCAACATAAACTGTCTCATCTGATCACACAAGAGAAGCTAAATGATCTGATTTGTGACTTGTTTCTATCGAAGCAGCATGGGGAACTTCTTGGCTCTCATTTACAGCAATGGAATTTATTAGCTCCAGGAATAAGAGTATTAATTTACCAAAGTCACCATCAATCTTGCTTCTCACTACAGCATGCAAGATACTTTGTGTTTCTGTATAAATGTTGATGCACTAATGGAAGAATTATGTACTAAACATCATCCTCAAGAATGGGGACTTTTTATCGACTCATCTAGTTAGTCTGAAAGCTGTACTTTTGCATAATGGGAACATTAAGCCATCAATTCCTGTTGCTCATGCTGCGAACATGAAAGAAACTTATCAAAGCATGCAGATTATACTTGAGGCCATCAAATATGATCACCATAGGTGGAAGATATGTGGTGATCTTAAACTTATTGCACCCCTGCTAGGCCTGAAGAATGGGTATACCAAATGTTGTTGTTTTTTGTGTCTCTGAATGTATTTTCATATACAATCTTATTATACTCATTGCTTTTTTAATCCTTTGAGTGAGTAATTAAATTTTGGGTGGGTTCTCAAAAAGTGTCAATTATCCACTAGAATTTGACCTTTTTTAGTACTTTTTCAAAGTCCAAATATCAAAATCCACTAGTTACGCTTTTCTTCAGTGATGTAGGCATGTGCAGTATTAAGGCAGCAAATTCAAGGACATGTGAGTATCTCAATTGTTGCACTATGAAGAAAAGTTTTTGTGACACCATGGGGTAAATCTGCTTGTCACACCAGATGGTTATAAATGTCAAGTCAGAGAGCATCCAAAGGGTTAAGCTGGTATTGCTATTATGTATTGTTTTTGAACATTCTTAAATGCAATTTTCAAAGTTAATAAAGTAAAAGTTATTTTCATGATATATTTGAATATTTTGAATAAATCTATCATAACTCGAAAACTAGAGGTGATCAGTAATTTTCAACACAATTTTTAAAATCATCATCATAAAATCATTTGGAGTTTTTTTTTGTTGCCCGGTATAATTGGAAAATTACTTTAAAAGAAATCAATGTAAAAGAAAATAGAAAAATTAATACCATGTTAGAATAATTTAGTGGTTGAAAAAGTTAAGGCAGTAGCAAATACCTTTTTTTTTACTTTGTATGGGTTGTAGGGAATACGGTTTACTAATCAAATGACCAAATATCACTAGTCACCCAGCTCTAGTCCAGTAGAAATGAATGTTTAAATCTAGTTTCTTATTTGACAACCAAAATCAACTTTACTTATAGCAACTAGAGCTATTTAATGACTGTCATTCAAATCTTCAGTAGAAATACTTCATGGAAAATTTGACTTTTTGTGCACAAAAGACTTATGTTTACTAAAAGATAACCAAATTCTTGTGAAGACAACTTGCAACATTAAGTTATAGTATGTAAGTTTCATGGTTACACAGTGGTTAAAAGGTCAATCTAAATGATTAAGCCCATATATGAATAGTTAACATTAACATTTTTAATGCTCTGTAATGCATATAAATAACTTTTCAAGTGACAAATGAGCTCTAATCCCAACCAAGTCCAGTTGGCATATATGATCTGGAATGGGAAAACAACAAATTTAACTAACTATCAAAATAAAAAAATTAATAACTAATCTACTTCTAAGTGTTTTAAATATGTGTTTAAATGTTTGGAATTGTCTAAATAAATGTGGATAAGTATTTGCAAAGCCCTAAAAGTTGTGAATAATGAATATGATACACATAAAATATAAAATCATACTTGTTCAATGTATCAAAGTTAGTTAACCCATTAACTGCGGATGATGGATATTTCCATAACTGAAGTTCTATGGCTCAGCTGCGAATGACGGAAATATCCATATGTCGCACATATGCAACTATAACTCTTTGCAAATGACGAAAATTACCATTTTATTGTAACTGATGGCAACTCAGTTTTATCTGTGAGTCAGAAAATGGGAACTGAGTTGCTTCTGCCGCAGTTAATGGGTTAAGCTTATGATAACATCAATTTACTCAAAAGTATATATATAAATATATATATTTGTGTGTGTGTTTTAAAAGAAAAAGGAACTAAAATAAAACCAGGTATGCTATTGAATAACCTACAACTACTTGGACTAGTAGAAAGAAAATAGTAGTGACACAACAAAGTAGTTACGTTGCCTTTATAATCAACATTCCAACCACTAGTTGTTTTTTCAAACTAATTTAACAAAATTAAATACATTATATTAATTTTTTTAAAGGAATTTTGGACTAAGTATTTTGTTTGCTATTCTTTAAAACAGTATTTGATAATCAAGATCATACCCTTCATCATCAACACTTTCTGTGGTGAGTGAGGCATCTTTGGAGAGCTGAAGAATACAAACAGGGTCCTGAGGTGAATCCCAACCATATTCTATATAAAATATTTGTGAAGTAATCAATATATATATATATAAATTAACAATGCAATACGGTTTCACAATACCTTATCTTGTGGGTGTATATGCAAAACAAGTTTTTAAAAGTATTTCAGTAATGATAGAACCACCACAATAAATTAATAAATTTGTAACAACCTGTTGTTCATTTCTCTTTATTATTGACAAAGTGAAAGTACTGTTGAATAAAAATTTTTAATATTCATGACATAAGTAACAAGCAATAACAAAATAATTTATTTAAAAAAAAGTCAATTTTGCATTTAATATTTCTAATCATGGGCAGATATAATGCTTTTTATTATTATTATTATTATTACTGAAGATACATAATTTTAAGAAATTAGGCATTTTGAGAGGCAGTGGTCAGTCAGAACACCATCCTCCAACAGTGGTAGCAAATGGTTTTATATAGAAAATAATTAATGTTACCAAATAACATACTTGCAGAGTTTTAACTTAACAATCAATTTTTAAGTTGGAATAGATCAAATGTCAGAAACAAAAAACTTGTACATGAAAATCATACGTACTCAAAATAAAACTATTATTTTGTGCTACAATGGCATGGTTGAAATGTAGAATTTGCTGAAATGCCCCCATTAAGAATTACACTACAATAACTATAGTGCAAGTGTATTGTGAGCTGTCATTTCACAAATGATTATGCTGTGCTTGTGATAGACTGCAAGTGCTGGCAATTGAGCAAGGTGGCACATTACAAAGAAATGATCAAACAAAAAAAAATCATGCATCAATTTGAACTTCAGTACTTCACAAATCAAAATGTCATTTGGCCAAAAAAAAAACAAAACAAAGGGTGGTTGCTGTCTAAATCCTTCCTTGAGGAAAACATTAGAAATCACTGATTATAGCAGCTGATTTTGTTATTGAGTTACTGACAAAAACATGATTTGTACTTCAAATAATATTATACAAAATATATAAGAACCACAACAAAGATTACCAGTAAGTTCAGAGCAAAGAGTAATCATTCATAAATCTCCAAAATATAATGCATCAATACAGATACATTTTGTTCACAATCAGCAACAGTAAAGATGAAGAAATCATATTAAGCATTAGATCTTGTTACTTAACAACTGAAACCAGCTTCTAATAACAACCAGCCTCCACTGCATCTAATTCTATTATATTAAGTTGAAATTTGCTCTAATCATTTTTACAGGGCCATCCTTGCCACTAATGCCATGTAATAATAAAACTACTCAAAATTTTGCAAATCAGAATTTTGTAATCTATTAAAATTACTTCTGTAATCCAACTGACCAGTTTCCATTGCTAGAAGCTAAATAAATCATTTATATGCAAAGACCTTACTTCTTGGTAGGTGAGCTAAACCTTCCAAAAAGTACAAGAATAAATTAGGATCATAAAAATAAACCCTCATAAGTTAAAGAAACAAGGCTACTGGAGATGGAGACCTGATAAAAAGAGAATTTAAAATGGCTAACAGACTGATTAATATAAAATTTTCTTTATACCCTGTCTTTGGTGCTATATTGAATTTACAACATAATATATTTTACTAAGAAGGAATTTGTATTTATGGTGTCATTAAACTATTTTTCTATAGATTTAGCAAATAAAAATGTAAATATTTTATATGTGTATGGATAAAGGAGGAGATATTGGAAATATCCCAAAATAACTCGTCTAAAAGATAATAAAACTACAAATAAACTTCTTTTCAAAAAGGTGAAAACAAAAAAGTTTATACCCAAACTTTACAGGTCCTAATTACTTCTTGGCTACAATTAAAAATTCATCTGTATTTCTGCATACCTGTGGAAGAACGTTTATACTTAGACAAACTATTAGTAAACTGAAATTAAGAATTTTGTACTCATAGGAGTTATGAATAGAGGTATGGCAATACAGCAATACGAGTGTCATATCATGAATCTGTGATACGATTGTATCAATACATTGTCCGATATATGATTTATGTATCTTCACGAAATCTGACAAGCTTTCAGTAAACAGTCTTTTTTTACAAAAAAAATCAGAATTTCTAATGAATTATTTTTGCTAAAAATTAATGTTTTAATATATGGAGTCAAAGAAGGCACTGCTCCAAGTTTTCCCATGTTAGGATTAAAAATACTTATCTGCATCTAAATATTATCAAATTTCTTTTCTGTAATCTCTAAAACCTTCAAAATAAATTTCCAACTTTTTTTTCGAAAAATCTTCATATTTTATCTGCTATATTCACTACCCTAATTTTATGTGACATCAGTCAGATTGACCAGCCATATTGTATCACAGCATCAATATACAGATACATCTCATATTGTATCAGCCCTAGCTATGAAATAAACAAATTCCAAATAATACATACCTTCTGTTTCTTCGACACCAAAAATATTTTTTTGGGAAGAAAGATCTGATTTTAGGATAACTCCTGACTGTACATTTTCTATTTTTTCTGAACATGCCTCCTGATTTTTACTAGTGGCAAGGCTGATTTCTTCCAATGATCTATGTAACGTAGAAAGTATTTTAAAAAATGCAATAACAATATTATATCTGCTAAACTGAATCTTTAGGTGATGGTAAGATGAAAGTTCGTGATTTTGATTTTCCTTAAGTGTCAAATGAAGTTTTCAAAATTTATTTTCCAATTTGGATTTTTAAATTGGAGTAATAGATATTCAAGCACAAATTACCATGCAACCGACCTTCAAGCCACAAGTTTAAGAGTTATTATTTGGTTGTGAAATCTAGTTGTTTCATAATTCACAGTTGTTCGTATTAGGCCATGTCCCACGTATAGAGTTTAATAGTACCATACCAACTGTAAAATGTAACTATGTTGCAAGTTAAAAGACCAAATATTGAATTTAAGCCTATTTATAGTTAAAATAGCAGAATTTGTGGAACTGTTTAAAGAATACTGTTAAGTATATGGATTTCAGCTATCTAAGATATAAGATTGAATATAGCTGTAACGTTTGTTGACTCAAAGTAGATTTAGACAACTGCAGAGCTCGAATCATTTAAGGGGAGTTCAAGGAAAGGATACTTTTTAAATAACCCTGAAAGTGTTATATTTAATTATTCTGATTACCAGTTGAAACACTGTAAAGAGGGTGTTAGCCAAAGTTTACAGTTTGCCCTTCCTCCTAAAAGTTTGTAAGAGAATAATATTTATATAGCTTTGAATTTTGTTTACCGCAACTAGCACTTAGTGATATTTGGTTCAGAGAACTTGAGATATTTGAACACATTCAATCACACATTTCAGGGATAGCACTTTCTTCATATCAAGTATACAATTATAGTAAAAGATGTTGTAATTTATCTAATTAAGAACAGAACGCTCTCATTGAATTAACCCTTCCATTTCGGGCTAGATGGGATCCACACAGCTCGTAACCACAAAAATATCCATGAGAATAATTATACTATGATTTTTGATAAGGTAAGCATATATTTACAAAATTTTGCAGGTTATTGGTAAACATTATGAGGCTTTTGTACACCAAAATATCAGGTTTTTAAATTAAGTATTAAGATTTTTGAATTAAAGATTTTCTTGTAAGATTTTTTCTTTCAGAATGTTGACCATCCAACATGCAAAGAAATTTTGATTTTAAAATTAAAAATACTTTTATACATCAGAACATTTTTAAATTTCACGTGTGAAATATTTATAACCTCCAGATAATTATCAAATTTTGTTTAGAAAAAACTTTTTTTGTTCTAGAATGACTACAAATTATAACAAGAAAACACAAATGTTTAGTCTAAATAGCTTAATTTTCATAACATTATACATCATTTATATATATCTATTATTTTTATTATATTGACCTTTCAGCTGTGCCTAGCTAACATTATAGAAGTTGCAATGACGAGGCACACATGCACTCACGTTACTGTATCCAAGAACATAAAACTGGCCTTTACAAATTGACCTGTCTTGGCTGTGTTTTAGTGGACTAGTATTATGTAAAATACAACCACATTTTAGTTTTAATACATTATCTGTGAATAAACATCATTATTTAAAATAAAATTCTTAAATTTCGGTTATTTTTCTTAAAACATAGAACAGTAAATAAAGAGTTATAGAATATAATTATCTCTTCTACTTATGAACTTTGAACTCAGTTTATGGAAGATGTGAAACAAAATAATTTTTTTAGGTTTCATATATATATTTTGAAATAACCAAAAATCATAAATTACTATATCAATACCATAGAATTCCACTATAATTTATAAGGTTTAGTAACTAAGTTGTATTTGGGCTCACTAAAGACTTCCATTATTGTTTGAAATCTGCCATGAAAAGAAAAACCACATGGAGGACATTCTGAACTTTCAATTATTTAATTACATATCATAAATAGAAGTAGGTGTACATAAGCAAGTGTTTTCAAAAATGGAAAGAGTTGGGCAGGGGCACTGTGTTTGATTCAGTAAATGTAGTGATATCTCAACAAATAGAAGAGATAGGAGGTTCTTATTTTAGATTCTAGTTTGTCAATATCAGTAATTTGAGTTCCTGATTCATAAGAAACTACAGACTTTGTATATGGACATTACAAACATCTAATTTGAACCATTGCTGCATTCAACATACCACGTGACACACAAAAATCGATATTTAAGATTTCTTTTTTAATATTTACTTTTAAATCAGAAAATTAACTAATGTATCTTACTAAAATTTTAATTATAATCTACAATTTGATACTAAACTTATTGAAATACATTCATAAAACAGTAGTTCAATAAAATTTTGAATGCGAGTCAACAAATGCGATATGACATGGCATTTGATCTATGAACAATAGCAATAGGGTTACAGAATAATGGAAACATTGTCACTACTAAGCCTGATAAAGACAATCGAATTGTAATTCTAAACCATGTACATTATATCAAGTGGATAGACATTATACTGAATGATAAAAAAAGATTTAAAGAGTTGGATCGTACCATGAGTAATGAATTAAAGTTACATACAAAGATATCAGATCCATTGGCTCAAATTCAGACATGAATGGTAGCCCAAAGATTCATAGTGATGGATGCCCAGTTAGGCCAATTATTTCTAGTATTGGAGCATTTAATCAATCTTTAGCTAAGTTCCTAATCACCTTTTTTTACAAGATCACATAAAAACATACATATTACTTGTAATAATTTTGTGAATTTGAAGGAAACATTAAATAGTTAAATTTCCAAGGTGAATATTGCATATTAAAGCTGTGATATTGAATCTTTATTTTCAAATATACCATTAGATGGAACTGTGGATGTTTGCTTTGAGTTGATATTTAAAGGTCTAGATCAGTAGTTCTCAAACTTTTCAGACTTATGTACAACTTTCTGTTTAAACTTTTTTTAAAGAACAAACCCAATCCTAATTAAAAAAAAAAACATAGTAGCAAAAATTAATAATTTTAACACTTTGGTATTAATGGGAAGGATTTGATTGTTTTTTCTGGCACAATTGAAGAATATGTGGTTTGAATTATGTCAATTTGAAGGAAAGAAAAACTGTCACGTTTATGCAGGCAGAAGGCAAGTGCAGATGTGAGGGGAGTAGCATGTATACATGTGCAGAAAGCTGAAATTGGATTTATTACAAATTTCATAACATACTACCAACATCAGCTCCAAATATATTGTTAGTAGCACATATACCACAGTTTGAGAATCATCAATCTAGATAATGTAAATAGACTAACTAACAAAAGTGTTTAAAAACATTACTGGTATTTGTAGTTGGTAAACATTGTATTTTGGCACTTGTGTATAAAGTTACAATCATAAATAATATTCAACGTTAAAACTGGTACACAATTAAAAACATTTTATTTAGGCCTATCTATGGCCTTCATGTTTCGACGTTGCAATGTCATCCTCAGGAGTGAATTACAAGACAATGCTAAAGTATTTATAACTCGTTAGTAGGCCATGTGACCTGTATGCTATTTTACATAACTTCATGCTAAACCATTCAAAGGAGATCAATCCACATTCTTGTCAGAAATATTCGCCA